CCTGAAGTGGCACAACGGGAAAGATGGGACATTTCCACCAGAAAAAGGATATGGCTTTCTTGGTAGATAATAGAGTCTTGACTCCACACTGGAAGATTCCCATGTGTCTTCAACGTTTGAATAATTTAAAAAATGAATAAAATAGATCACAAGAAAGGTGGAGTGCATTGTGCTTATAAGGTTGTTTTGGTTAAAAATACCAATCAAAACAAAATGTACTTCTTTCTTCAAACCACACAACACTTTGATGTCAACTGTAGATGTGTCCTCACCGTTGCTGAGCAGTCTTTTAGCAGAATATTTAGTAGAACCAGATTCATGGACAGAAGCCACTTGCCGTATTTTGAGTAAATGAGAAGAGAGGAATACATCTATTTTAGATCAGTTAGATTGACCAAAATATTTATATTTTCTAGAAGGTAGAATAATGAAAGTGATTTTTTAAAATGTTTTTTTCATTTTACATTCTTCAGTCTCAGAGGCTTACCTACATTTCCCTTGTAATTGGTCAATTTCGTTTTTAAATACCAAAATACAAGAGAGGGATCTGTTTTACACTTTCTTCAAAACACACTAAGGATATTATACCTCAAAACAATTTGGAAAACCCAGATTCTGATGTCACAGCTTTGTAAGCTTTTGATGGGATGGTTTAGGGGCAAATGTGGCTCAGTGGGTCTTCTTGCAATCCAAAAGTTGTGGATTTGATTCCAGCTTCCTCCTATTACATATGCTCATTAGTGTATGGATGTGTGCATGTTTCTGAGAACAACTGTGTGAATGTGGCTCTAGTGTAAAGTGCTTGGAGTGGTTGGTTCTACTAGAAAAGTATTTTAGAGCTCACCTCAAAGACATCGTTTTCTTATGTGACATGACAGGACAATCTAAAGAAATCAGGCAAGAGAACAGAAAGACGATTATCCACCAGTTTGGCTCAATTTCCAGATGCCAGTAGGTGCCATGTTCAATTAACAACATACTCCAGCAATAATAACATTCAGGAAAAAGACGTATACTGTGTCACAGAGATTAATGTGTTTGGTGCAAAATGTGTGAATCCATGACAGAACAAAAGCAAAAGTCTAAATAAAGTTGCTGGCTGAAGCTGGTAAAAAGGGGTCCTGTACTGACATGGTCTGAAAGATTTTTAATGCACTCAGAGACCAAGACCTTACATTTCTGGTGACATGTCCTGTGCTCTGATGAAACAAAAATAGTAGTGTTTGCCCAGAATGACCATCAGTTTTGGGAAAAAAAAGTGAATATGAAGTATGCTGCTGGTGGTGGCAACATAGCCCACAAATCCGACAGAGTGACAACAGTTCTGTCAGGAGAAATGGGTCAGAATTCCAACATGTCATATATTTCAAAACCCAAATATACCAAATATTAAGGATAGATAGTGCACATGAGGGTCTGAATATGAAGAAATTATTTTAAATGTCCTAAAAATTATTTTCACTCATTATTCTAAATTTAACTAAATACAATAGTACTGAAAAGGTATCATTGTTGATATGGGTACTTTCACAAAAAAACAAAAAAAAAATATTATCTGAATGTAAAGTCGTGAGGAATACACTTTATTTACATAAGGCACTGAAAACTTGTGGAAAAAGATGGTTTAACCCACAAATTTTTATTGATATCTAAATCAATCCCCAATAAAATAAGCTAGAATTGCTCACATCAGAAGTAGCGATGACATTTAAAGGGGACATATCCTGCTTTTAACAAGATGAGTATGCAAATGTCAGTTAATATATAAATTAAGTTTTACAGTTCCTTGCCAGGGTAAAATAAAATAACTTCATTGCCTTACATGAAGCTGATGCTTGTGAAAAACCTGTAGAAATGCTGAAATTGTATGTATCAGTGGCTTGCAGAAATTTGAGTTAAAATAAATTTAAATATGCCTGTTTCAATGCAGGTCAAATGTATATATTTGTGCAATGGTATGGTTCAGATGACAAAAACACCGCAATAGCCTAGGTTTTGTGGAAATTTATGACATAATTGTCATGACTGGGTTTTGGGTATGACCAAAGTGCAGAGAAGGAGACGCCAGGAGTCGGATAAATGAAGGAAAGTCTGAGATTTATTGTTCTCACTCACGGACCAGGCAGAGAAACCAGAATCTGGCCAAGACACAGGACACAGGAACCAGGCGTACTCTAACGTGATCTAACATGAAAATCTAACCTGTCTATGACCACACAATGACAACGACACAGCGGGAAACAAAGGCAGCTAAGGAACATATATACAAACAGGAAATGCAGGGAGAACCAATGAACAGCAAGACAAGGTAATCAAGGGAAACCAGGAACAGGTGTGGAACAGACTGCAGGGAGACAGAGGGAGTGAGACCAATTAACATTATAACACAGACAGAAGGAAAACAAAGAATAAACTGGGTTTAAATAAACAAAAACACAAACTTAACACAGACAGATCCTGACAGTAATGCATAGTACTTCTCAGGTTTGGCCTTTCAGGATAAATCATTCACATATCAAACCGTTTAACATCATATAATCCACTTTCCAATCGAAGCAAGGTAGATGAAGGAGAAAACATTTAGAATTTTGGAAAAACTCCACTTGTTGCTAAGCTATTTGTGCAATTTGTTGTTTTGGCTATGTGCAAACATAGGACATGAAAGCCATGTTTGCTACTACTATTTTGAGATTTGAACATTAACAAGCATCCACAGGTCACTTCAGATCAAATAGGTAAGGAAATGTTTTTAGATTCTACCAATAAAAATCCTGAGGAGTTAAAAGGAACCATGAAAAGCTAGCAAAGAAACTTTTATTTGCTACATCTCTAACTGCACCTAAAGTAAGTACATACTGTACACCTAAGCTTTCAATAGTCTTAACGATCTCCCTGACTTGAAAAGACTAATTTTATAATTGAACCTTGTTTTAACATACATTTAATTATCTAGTAATAAAATCTAAGACAACAAACGCATCATTACAGCACAGTAGTTACAGTAAGTGGCTACCTAGAATACAGTCACTAAAAGGTTGCAGAAAATAATGCATGACTGTGAGATATTTCTTTTTTTTTATCCAAGTGCAGTGCACACAGAATGGGTCCTTGATGTTAGTAAGGAGAAAGGATTAATCTGAATTTATGGTTATTAGTCAGAAACCACAAATAAGTCGGCTGAGCCGCAGAAATATTTGTCAGAAATGTATACATATATCCAACACAGGCTCTTCGTGTTTTCCATGTGGCAAAATGTAATCCTGACCACAAAGGGTTAAATATCTTCTGTTTTACAGCAAATTATGTGGCCCCTGGATTTGCGTCACTGTGGTTTTATAGCTAGCTGTAGGGCCAGCAGTGTGCTGCCGCTCTCAGAGGAATACACTGTTAAAGTGATGAGCTTAGCAACTGTTTTATTTTTTATTTGTGCTGAAAGCAATTGGGTGAACTATAGAAGATAATTTTAAGAACAAAAAAAATTAATTGTTTCAGACTCAAGTTGTCTTAGAAAACCATCAGTCTTGTTAGTTTTATATTTTGTCTAGTGTTTTTAAGGGGAAAATCCAACTAAATGTCCCCACTTGCTCCCCAGAGGAATCATTAACCTCATATGTAAAACAAGTAAATATACATGCAGCTATTTATATCACTGCAACCAATTAGTGGAGAGATTATGAAGTGTCTGAGGGTGTACAGAAATACCAGTAACAGTCTGCTAACATCCTTAAGTTCTCATCACAGTTCCAGAGACTGAAACTGATTAGCTGCATTTTGTAGCCAATTACAAATTAGGAGACAGTCTTTTTTTAAAGATTGTTCAAATAAATGATCAAGGAAAGAGAGACATTTCTTCTTTCTAAGTTAGAAAAAGTTTAAACTTTACGAAAAAAAAGTGTTGTGGCCTTGTAAAGCTTAGAAAATGGTCCAAATACGACGGACAAGCAATATTCACTGTGCAAACATCTTTGTTGACTTAGCTAACTGGGATGTCTGTAGGGTCAAATACTGCTGCTGCTTCAATCTGATTTTTTATTGCAGTCTTTTCGTGATCTTATTTTGACAATGGGAATATTTTGAGGAAGAAACATAATAATGAGACCCTTTGTGCTCCTAAGAAGCTGATAAAGCTGGAGAAATCTGAAAAAACATGAGACCTTCTGCCAACTACAGTCATGTAAAAAAATAGGACAATCCATTACAACCTGTGTTGTTATAAAGCTAAACTGGACCCTGCAACATGACAATGGCCCTAAGAATACCTGTAAATCAGCAAAAGACAGGTTGAAAACTACAAAATAAAAAGTCTTGGATGCCCTTCTGAAATGCTGTGGAGTGAGTTGAAATAGGCTGTATATACAAGAAAACCATTGAACATCTCACCTCTAATACAGAGGAAACCAGATTCCCCAGACCGATGTCAGGGGCTGGTGGGTGGCTACAAGGAGGTAACAGCTTTTTAAGTTGAGGACATTTATTACCTAAAAAATAAAACATTACTTATGCCATCTACATAGGTGAAACTCATATAGTATATAGATTCCTTACAGATGGAGTGAAATATGTCAAGCCTTTATTTGTTGTAAGCCACAAAAGGTCATAGCAAAAGAAGTCAGTTGTTCACAGTGTTGTAGAAAGTTGAGTGAAAGGATAAAGTGTGGTAGGAAAAGATGCACCAGCAACAGGGATAACCACAGTCTTGAGAGGATTGTCAAGCAAAACCCATTCAAGAATTTGTAAAGGGCTTCACAAAGAGTGGACTGAGGCTGCAGTCAGCACATAAAGAGCCACTAAGCACAGATGAATCCTACACATGGTCTATAAATGTTGCATTTCTTGTGTCAAGCCACTCCTGAACCAGAGACAACATCAGAACTATCTGACATGGGCTAAGGAGAAAAAGAATCGTTGCTCAGTGGTCCAAAGTCTTCTTTTCAGATAAAATTACATTTTGCATTTCAGGGGCCATATTATTTGCTGGTGTTGGTTTTCTGAAGGAGGGCTGCACGGTGGAGCAGTTTGTAGCACTGTTCCCTTGCAGCAGGAAGGTCCTGGGTTCGATTCCCAGCCGGGGGTCTTTCTGCATGGAGTTTGCATGTTCTCCCCGTGCATGCGTGGGTTCTCACCGGGTACTCCGGCTTCCTCCCACAGTCCAAAGACATACCTGTTAGGTTAATTGGTCACTCTAAATTGCCCCTTAGGTGTATGAATGAGTGTATGCATGGTTGTTTGTGTGTTGCCCTGCGATGGACTGGCGACCTGTCCAGGGTGTACCCTGCCTCTCGCCCATAGACTGCTGGAGACAGGCACCAGCTCCCCCACGACCCACTATGGAATAAGCGGTAGAAAATGACTGACTGACTGGTTTTCTGAAGTCCACAGCCAATGCAGCCATTTACCAGGAAATGTTAGAGCAGTTCATGCTTCCTTCTGCTGACAAGCTTTATGTGGATGATGATTTCATTTCCCAGCAGGACTTGACACCTGCCCACACACAGAAAGTCTATTGGTTATTGTCAAGAGAAAGATGAGAGACACCAGACCAAACAATGCAGATGACCTGGTGGCTGCTATCAGAACAACCCGGTTTTCCATTACACCTCAGCAGAAACACAGGCTGATCGTCTCCATGCCACGCCTCATCGATGCAATATTTCATGTAAAAAGAAGCCTAACCAAGCACTCAGTGCATAGAAATTAATGTTCTTTTAGAAGTCTGACATTTCTGTTTAAAATTTTACTAATGATCTTATGTAAAATTCAGATTTTCTGAGACAGTGAAGTTTAGGTTTTCAGTATTTCTTAGCCATAATCATTAAAAAACAAGAAATAAAGGCTTGAAATATTTCACTCTGTGTAATGAACCTCTAAAATATGAGGTTCACCTTATGAAATGAGTGACAAAAAATGTTCAACATTTTCAAGAGATTAATTTTTTGTTAGCTATACCTGTACAATAAAAGAAAATGTAATCAGATCTTTAATTTTCTCTATTGAGTTCCTTTCAAGACCAAACGAATGACCTAATTTATGGTTGGAATACCACCCATTGACACCTAAAATAACAATGTATGCTAAAACAGAATCCCTGACTCATTATTACCCACAACCCTAAAGGCTCCATGAATGTAAAATAAAATAAAAAAGCATAAATTAAGCCAAGACTGCAAACCATTGAACTATAAAATATTCAGCTGGATTGGGCTACACATACAAAAGAAAGAACCCAAAAAACAAAATCGGAGTGTCAATCAATCAGAACACTGTCTACAATAGCATTAAAACACATCAGACAGCAAGAACTTGTCCTAACTGTCTAGCACACTGACAAAGCACAGCAAAATATCCTTAATCTGATACAAGAAGCAAGAATGTCAAGACTTTTTGCAGGGTGACAAATCCCTTCTGTTTCCAATTACATTGGTTTTGTCACAGCTGTGGTACTGAACCCTTTGGTTCTAAACTTGGTAATCATTTGCTGCTCTCACGCAACTTTGCCAAATCAGAAAGATCTGCAGCACATGGAAACAATTCTTTCACTTGCGTGAGAGTTGGTGAAATGACATGTGTGTGTGTCCTTTACTCACTACTGTTGTATAATCCCATGCTTTAAAATAATTTGGTTATACTTCAAGGCATTTACAGTCCATGAAAAGTGCAGACAGACCATCTTCAAAGCTTTAACACTGCCTTTCTATTTAGAAACACATCTTCTGCCCACTGTTTAATCCGTTTAAGTTGATTTTATGATCTATGTTTCTTACATCACTATCCTTTGTTAACAAAAGCTGTAACTTAGTTTGTCCATGACACCCTATCTCTAAGGGAATTCTATTGATTCAACAAATAAATGTAAGAAAACTGAGATGAGAAATCATTTGTAACCGGTGGATCGCTGGTCCGAACCTCCGCTCCATCTGTCTCAGTCATTCTGTCCTTGGGCTAGACACTTCACACGCCCTGCCTACTGATGCTGGTCAGAGGGCCTTGTGGTGCCGATTACATGGAAGCCTTGCTTCTGTCAATCTGCCCCAAGGCAGTTGTGGCTACAGTGTAGCTTAGCACTGTCAGTGTGTGAATGTGTGTATGAATAGGTGGTCTAAGGAATAAATAAAGCACTATACAAGTACAGGCCTTTTACCATTTACTATTGGTCCCTGACAGGCAGGTCTAAGCATTTCAATAAATGCTGATCTACTAGGATTTTCACATAGAGCCATCTCAGGTTTGTAGCACTTGTTAGAAAACAGATAAATGGAACATCATCTTTGAATGCACCATTTATCAAACTTTGAAGCACAAGGGGTACAGCAGCATTATACCACACTGAGCAAGAGTGCCACTCTTCCTTAAGAAGAGGAAACCGAGGCTACAGTTCACACACACCCACCAAAACTGGACAAAAGAGAGAAATGTTTCTCAATTTGAGCTGCAACATTAAGATGCTAGGGTCGGAATCTGATGTAAAGAACATGAAAACACAGGTCCATCCTGCCTCATATAAACAGTTTAGGCCACAGGGGTCAAACTTCAGTCCTCGAGGGCCAGTGTCCTGCAACCTTTAGATGTGCCTCTGCTTCAACACACCTGAATCTAAAAATTAGGTCATTAGCAGGATTCTGGACAACTTGACTGCATACTGAGGAGGTAATTCGGCCATAGATTCAGGTATGTTGGACCAGGGACACATCTGAAAGTTTGAGGACACCGGCCCTCGAGGACTGGAGTTTGACATCCCTGGTTTTGTCTAATGGTGGTTGTGTAATGATACTGGGGATATTTTCTTGGTCCAGCTAACAGTTCTGCAGCAACTACATAATGTCATCATGGACATACAGAGGGCCATCAAGGTGCACCTAATAAAGTGGCCGGTGAGTGAAGGTTTTCATTTGTTTAAAGTCATGTGAAAATAGCAAAACTGTCTTTCTTATTACTTTGATCATCTGGTCCACCATGTTGCAAAGCCAGTGGCACGAGAAATAGGCTTTCACCCTCATTACTGTTTCTCCTCCATGGTAGAATATTTTAATATAAGGTGATACACAAGAAGGGAAAGTTTTAAGACAGCTTAGAATAATTTCACACCCAGACTGTGTGTTATTAAAGCAAGGCAGTCAGAGAACACTTCTCCTCATTATACATAAATATAGCACTGAGACTTTTTCATATGGACAGTGCCTCCTGCCTCCATTTGACACAGCTTGACAAGTTATATCTTAAAATATATCCCATTTAGACTTACAACAGGCATGTATCTGCCAGGAGGCTGCAGAGGTAAAGCGGCAGCACTCAAATATGTCAGCGTGGCAAATACAGGCTCTAAATGAAGGATGTCATACCACAAAATGGGTGAATAAATAAATGTTTTGGGAAAAGGTGCTATCAGACTGGGAGGGCAATGCTCCAAAAATAGAAAATAGTTTTATAGTCTCTGTTGGCGGTCAGCTTGTTTAGAATCAGAATCAGAATCAGAATCAGAATCAGCTTTATTGCCAAGTTTGTACATACAAACAAGGAATTTGACTCCGGTACACTTTGCTCTTTGGTTTTGTTTTTGCACTACAGAATATACATATTTACAATGTACAATATACACATATATAAATAAAAAGGTGCATTTGCAACAACTGTATGCTGTTGTTTTGTACTCTATTGAATGTTCAACAGAGAAACAGCCTGTGGGAAGAAACTGTCTCTGTGGCAGCTGGTTTTTGTGAACAGCGCTCTGTAGCGTCGGCCTGAAGGCAGAACTCTAAACAGTTTATGTGCAGGGTGTGTGGGGTCTGCAGAGATTTTAGCAGCTCTTTTTCTGACCCTAGACCTGTATAAGTCTTGGATGGAGGGAAGGTCAGCCCTGATGATTCTCTCTGCAGACCTGATTGTTCGTTGCAGTCTGGACCTGTCCTGTTTTGTGGATGAACCGAACCACATGGAGCAGTGAGCTTTTGTAGCTTACCCTGAACATAGAAGTTGTGAATGACTGTATGTCCTTGGATAGAGTAGGTCCCTGACCACGGTGTACCCTGCCTCTGTTGTTATAAAAATGTTGTTACGAAATATATATATAAAGTTAAATTCTTAAATTGTTTCTAATTCTTTATTTATTTCTATGTAATATTTTCTAAATCAAAATCTAGTTAATATGCCTGTAAACTTTAGCAAATACAAAAAAAATGTATGAAAAGAAGAATATGACATGGCACAACTTGATTCCACTGCCTCCTAGTGGGGAAAAAGTTTGGGAAAGGTCAGACATTCAGTTTGGAATTTTACACTAACAATAAAAGTATGCATTTAACGCAACAAGCTGTAGAGGAAAAATTGAGCAGGAAATATAGGATAAAGCATAGTATGCTATAGTATAGTAAAATATCCAAGAAAATGTTGTTGCAGTATTTTATCCAGTTGCCTAATGGTGTATAAAGTACTATGCACATCTTTGACCACATAAACACAATCTCACTAATTGTATAGCTATATTGTTTAGCTGAGAACTAAATCTACATATTCAAAAACAAAGTACACCTGATAAAGGCATTCACTTTTGATCTTGACGTTAGTCAGAGGCAGAAAATCTTAAAGATGAGATTTTGCCAAGCTAAATGTAATGATTAAATTAGAATCTTGTCAAGATATTAATTTATTTTCATCCAAATCCACCCATTTACTTGTGTAAGAGTACAGAGCTGTTTTATTGGGATAAATTGGCCCCTTTAATAGGCAATGTTCCCACTGCATCTGTCGATTAAATGTGTACGCAAGTCTGTAAAAATGTGTACATGTGCAGAGTGAGGATGACAGTAGCAGAAAAACAGACAGGGTTTTTCCTCTCACACTGTATCACAGACATGAATAAATATACTCTGTCGACTGAGTTGCCACAGCAACTGTGCCTTGAATACCAAGAAACATTCTCAGTATTTCTCTGTGGGATAACATCAAAACAGTCGCATGCTGGCAATGTCTCAAATAGCACGTACCAGTAAAGATAGACTGACAAGGGACAACGTGCATTTTTGTATGCACGTGCTCACAACTTAGGACAGAAAATGTTGATTAAGGCCAAACAGTTTGCATTTATCATCA